TCATCCAGATGGACGCTTGGTCATTCGGTAGCAACCACACAGCTTCTTATGTTGCTTCCATACTTACAGGCCATGAACATGACAGTGCGGTTCTGGTTTGACTTGTCCAAGCCACAATGCTGCCCATGGTGCAACTCTTCCGGTTACGTTCTAAACTTATCCTTAAACATTAACTGAAGTTCTAGCGTCTTCATTTCAAGTTACAGTTCAGTACTGTCAAAGTTTTTAATTGTTAATGCAGGCATACTTTTTTTTTTTTTTGCCAAATGAACTTTTCAAAATGAAAAATTCAACCAGGTATGGTGACTGTGATTCTAGCACTCAAGGAAGCAGAAGCAGGAGGATCACTGTAAGTTTAGTGCTACCCGTTTGCATAATGAATTCCGGGGGTAGTGCACGCCTTTAAACCCAGCACTCAGGGCGGCAGAGGCAGGCTGATCTCTGTGAGTTCGAGGCTAGCCTGGTCTACAGACTGAGTACCAGGACAGTTAGAGACACATAGAGAAACCCTGTCTTAAAAAAACCAAATATATATATATATATATATATATATATATATATATATATTTCAGCAGAGAAGGCTGAGAACATTATTACGTAAGAAGACCATCTTAGAAAAGAGGGGAAAAGGGGGGAGGGGTGCAGAGGAAGAGGGCGCTGAAGAGGGGAGGAAAGAAAAAGAAATCATGGCGCTAATCAAACTTGCTTCTGTCACTTTATGGAAGACACAGTAACAATATTCTTACAGTAGCAAAATGACTTCAATTCTGTGACTTCTTCCCCAAATCCAATTGGGTGTGGTGGAGCAAGTGTGCAATCCCAGCAATCAAGAGGCAGAGGCAGCCTGATCTACAGTGAGTTCCAAACCAACTAGGGTTACATAGCGAGACTCTGTTGGGGGGGGGGGGAATTCCAGGGCAGAGGATGTGATTCAGTTGGTAGCATATAAATGGGAGGTGGCAGTTTATACTTGTAAATTCCCAGCACTCCACGGGACAGGTATAGAAGTTCCAAGTCATCCTCTGGTCACATGCCACCCTGGGACCACTGAGATTTTGTCTGAAAAACAGAAGAAAGAGAGAAAAAAAAAACTAAACAGATACTTAAAAAAAAAAGATGTATTTATCTTGATTTTACATGCATGGTTGCTTTGCCTATAGGTATATATGTGCATCTTATATAGGTATCATCTGGTTCTCTCAGAGACCAGAAGATGGCATCAGATCTCCTGGAACTAGAGTCACAGGAGGCTGTGAGTTGTCACATGGGTGCTGGCAACCACACCCAGATGGTCTGCAAGAGCAGGAAGTGCTCTTCACAGCTGAGCCGTCTCTCCAGCTCCCAGACACTTGTTTTTCCAAAATTAAAAGTTGAAAAAAAAATTAACTTAAGTAAATTTTTTTATTTAATTCATTGAAAATAGAACTGGAATATTTTCTTTTTAAAAAAAAAATCAATAAAACCAAACCAAACGAACACAAAAACCTCCTTTCTGGAAAGAGAGAGAGAGAGAGAGAGAGAGAGAGAATCCCCACAACATTTATCACACATTTAAGCTATTGATGTATTAGTGTTAGAATATAAGAAGTTGGCCAGGCAGTAGTGGCACACACCTTTCATCCCAGCACTTCGGAGGCAGAGGTAGATGATCTCTGCGTTCCAGGTTACCCTGGTCTTCAGAATAGTTTCAGGACAGCCAGGACCACAAAGAGAAACCCTGTCTTGAAAAACAAACAAACAAACAAACAAACAACAACAAAACAAACCAAGAAACCTCTTTCAATTCCAGGACCCAAACAAAAAAGTTTAAGATTTTTGGCATAGTCTGGTCATTTAAGTGTAACTTTAAAAGCTGCTTTATAGAACTCCCAGTATTTCAACGACCACAACTTGAAGACATTTCCTCCCCATGAGAATAACCTAAATCTGTATACAGTCGCTCTTCAGTCACCAAACCAGACATATTTAGATGTAACCCTTGCACTGAGATTTGGAACTGGCTGCTGGCCTTAATATTTTGATGTCTATACTAAAATAACCGTGGTGGTGGAAATTTTTGGACTACATCTTCCCTAGAGAACAGTCTGAACTTCCTGCGCCCTGGGATCAAATGCTCACACAATGAGAAGATTAAAATATCCACAGATTGGACCCCATGGCTGCCTAGAATCTAAGCACTTGGGAGGCACAAACGCTAGTACTCATAGTTGCAGGGCAGACTTAGCTACCTAGTGAGACCTTGTCTAAAAGTCAAACTAAAATATCCTCTGTCGGGCTAGTGAGATGGCTCAGTGGCTGCTCTTCCAGAGGTCCCAAGTTAAATTCCCAGCAACCACGTGTTAGCTCATAACCATCTGTAATGAAATCTGGTGCCCTCTTCTGGCCTGAAGGCATGCATGCAGGTGAATCACTGCATACATAATAAACAAATTTTAAAAACTATCCTACGTGTTCAGAAACCAAATCTTCCTAACACTACTAAACATTCCCAATGATATCTGAGGACTAATGCCCACTACTGATTCTCATTTATAATAGGCTTTAGCATCTATTTTCTTTTAAGGTTCTACAACAAAAAGAATCAAATGTTAAGGAACACATAGAAAAGTAAACGTAAAGAGGGAAGGACAGAGGACTAGATTAGTCCCACAAAGGAAGAAGTTTAATCTTTAATTCAAAGGACAAATAGATTGAAAAAGCAACGGGAAAACTCATGAGGTCAGCCGTAGAATCCTTTCGTGCCTTCAGCCCCCATCTGACTTTGCATCATTTGTAGTAACAATGTGCAAGCATCTAGCCAGAATACTTGTTCATTAACCAGTACAAACCACAGGTAGACCCCAGCTAAATGGGAGAGCTCTGAAAAACACCAGTCCCTTGGAGCCCTCTGCTCAAGGTCACTTATCAAGACCACTCCCCTCGCCCCGGTGTAACCTTAGACTTAGCCGGAGCACCCAGTTTAGCGGACCTCTGCAAAGGAGGTCAGATTCAGAGATAAACTGCTTCCAGTCCTCTAAGCAATCTAGATAAGACATCAAGTGGTCTATTTTGAATTCCTTTGTTTCTTTATTGAAGCCACTCCCAAGTCCCCTCCTGGAGGCAATACCAACAGAATGTGAGGAATCAAAGAAATTCAAAATGTAAAATGATAACATTTTCGATTGCCAAATCAAAAGATTCCCACTGCAAAGTCCTTTGAAACGGGAAGGTCCCTCAAGAGTCCCTGCATTAGATGAATTTGACTGTCCCAGTTGGACTGTAAAAAGAAATGAAGGCTGAAAGGTCCAAATTGTAACTCCTGGAAACAGTATATACACTGTTGTATTCTGTACTGTCTTCACATATGAATACAAAAGGAAAAAAACCCACCTCCTTTGGTAATAGGACAAAATGTCTAAGTAATTATTAAGTCTTGGTCTCAGTAAACACTGTATGTTTGCAAGATTTCTCTTAGATTTTCAAAACTAAGACTAAAGCTAGGAAGGCCAAGGGGTTTATTCAACTCTCAGAAAGAAACTGGATGGATATCTGTCTAAAGACACACTTTCCCGTTTAAAGAAAACCCAACAAGTTAGGCCAGTTGGCAGAGACAATTCTAACAAGGTTTCAGCTCACTCAACACAACTCCAAGCAGACTGTTCCAATCTTCTTTACTACCCTCTAGCAAACATTGGAGGAGGTGAAATTCACCAATGTTCATATTCTGCCTCCTTAAAAACAACAAATGGAGAAGACAATAGTGATGAATTACAAATAAATGAATTCAAGAAACAAAGCCAGAGCTGAGAGCTCACTAGCACACAACAGAGTCTCATTCGCGGCCAGCACTGGGGAGGTGTGTTACTTGACGAGTTCCGGGATCCCGGGGTTGAGCATCAGTGCACCGTGGAGATCCCGGGACTTGTTTGTGATTGTTCTGTCTTTCGTTTTACAGCATTTGGCAAGTGGTGAAATCAGCGCTTGTATCAGGATTCTCTTTCTAGAACTTTCCACATCACATTCTGAAAATGAGCTTTCTTTCGTTCCTCTGAGCTCTGCCATTATCCGGGACTCTCTCCCACAATTAATGCCAGTTTTAATTTGTGAGCATAACTGATTATGAGGCACAATGGTTTCATGAAACACCACATTGTGCATATACAATGTATGCACAAAGACAAATCGTCTTTCCTATTTTAACAGTAGTCTTTGGAAGCACAATATGGTAGCTTACACACTTCACGGACTGATAAACAGTATTACTAAGATAAAGACTAAGGAATAATTTAAAAGAATCCAATAGATTCCTACATTCATTTTGGTCTTAGGTTTCAGGTAAAATGTTTTCCTAAGCAACAATGCGGGGTTATTGGAGGGAAAAAAAAAAAGTAGAAGTAGATTATTACTTAAAAATCCTTTCTAATTTATGCATTCTAAGTATGCATTCTTAAATTCTTCCCCAAGCATCCGGAAGTTCCTGGTTTAAATTCTGTTTTCTGCTTTGATTCCTAATGACCTCTTGGCAGAGCTCCTGCAGCTCTGGAGGAAATGGCATGGGGCAAATGTCTCTCTAGAAGAAGCCACCGGGTGCGAGGGTGTGAGAGGAGGTGTTTCTCTGGCCAGCTCTGCTTCAGCCCCTTGCTGGTCACACACCAGCAGCCTCGCCACAACCTGCCTTTGACCTCACGAGCTCCTGGGCTGAATGAACACTTAACGCTCTTCGGAATCGAAGCAGCTCAATCTAAAGGGAACATGACTAAGGCGGTGGCAAGAAATGCTACCTTGAGTGGCGATTATACTATATATCTCTTAAAAATCCCGAAGCCAGCCAGACCCACTCCTTTGAAAGGCAAACCCCTCCAGCCCGCACTGAGTCCTAAAGAAGAAAGCAACTCGAGCCCCGCGCCTGGGGCCCGCCCCCTGGTGGCTCCAAAGGGAAGCGCAGCGACTCCTGCGCCCGCTTGCTAGGGACTCCACGGTTTCGGACGCCGCGCGAGCAGCGGTGGCCCGAGAGGCCCAGCTGTTCTGAGCCCAAAGTCTCGGGGACGCAAAGGAGCCGGCCAACCGAGCCTCTTCCACCCTGGGCCGTGGGGTGGGGGCAGTAGCCCAGTACCCGGAAATAACGCATGCCACTTCCCCTGCCATCTCTAGTTCCAAAGCCCAGGCGAAAGAGACGAGCGTGGAGAAACACGGAGAGGGCAGGGCGAGAGCGCAAGCGAGGCAAATGACGTGACAGGGACAATCTGGAGAGAAACGTGTCCCCCCACCCCCCCAAAGTGCTGGAGGCCACGGTAGCAGCGAACAGATGAGGGCTGGAGCGAGAGAAATCAAACTCCACGTTTCTCTAGAGCCGGCTTTCAGCGGCTCGAACCTCGCCTGGCGCAAGGTCGCAGGTGCTGTGCGGGAATTTTGACCTTCCAGCAGGTACTTTCCGGTAAAGGAAAAGCATCCGGTAAATTCTGGGCTAAAATTGCACCATTAATGTGTGGCTGATTCAGTTTCCCGCTGGGTGCTTCCACATGCAGGCACCTTTCTTAGTCCAGCAGCGGCCAGAGCCTATGTGTTTTCTTATTTTAAGTGGTTCACCATAGTCCACTTCCAACACGAACAAGAGGAACTGCTGAGAATGTTCTAGGTGACATATAGTGGGATTTGAAAGATGACTCTTGTTTTATTTACGGTTTCGCGAAGGAGGAATTCAGTTCTGCAGGGGAACAGTCAGCTTCTCCCCCTCTCCCTATTTCGGAAGTCCATGATGTCGCCGTGAGTAATCGCGTGGGTATTACTGCATTAATTTAAAAGGTTTTTGCATCGAGCAAAACAATACAAAAAAGTCTTCAAAAGGCCTCCATCTATAGATAATCCCTCTTAAAAATGAAATTCTAACAAACTACAAGTCCACACAGTCAAAAGCCAATCCCAGTGAGAGCAGAGGGACTTGAAACCCGAATCTGCATTCCGTCCCTCCCGTACAAGGCTCGGAGGTGGGGGAGGCGGTTTGTGCTGGTGCCCGGTGTATAATCGGGTTAATCCAGTAGACAAAGAATAAACCAATAGCCCTCCCACCTCACTTCCCGCTCCCCTTTCCCTCCCGCTCCTGTTTCCCTCCCCCCCCCCCC